TCCAAACTTTATGTAGATCTCTGGGACTTGTTTTTTTAAAAAAGTAACAATGGTAATATGATTTAATCACATTGTTGTGTGTAATTATAGTTCATCTCTTTTTATTGCTCATACCAGTTGTTTTTTGCTATATAACAACCATCCCAAAACGTATTGGCTTCAAAGAGCAATCACATACTAGCTCACTGTTCTTTGGGTCAACAACTTAGGTTGAGTTCCAACAGGCAGTACCTATGCTGGTTGCACAGTGCACACACACAAGCAGCTGCAATCAGCTCATAGTTTTATTTGGAGTGTGGTTGTTCTAGTGGCATTCTTTACTTGTTTGATGATAGTACTGGTGGTTATTAGGTGATAGCTGTCAGCTCGGGGTGATAGAGTTAACTGGAACACGTGTCTCCAGTAGATTAGCCTGGGCTTAAACACACAGTGGCAGTTGCAAGTTTTCTGTGAAAAGCACTTTTTAAGTTTCTGCTTGCATCACATTTGCTATCATCTTATTGGCCAAAGCATGTGCTCCAGAGTCAGCATGCAAAGGTACTAAACAAGGACGAGTCTAAGGAGGAATAAACAATATTAGGGACCATTACTGCTAAAAAGTACCAGACCCTTCAATTTTATTCCATATATCCCACAATTTACTTATCCATTATCCTGTTTACAGATATTTAGATGGTTTCTGGGATTTGTTGTTATGAATACAGTTATTAGGAATGCTTCTATATATGTGTACTGTTCTTGGTGCAAAAAATCCTTCAAGATATAACTAAGAGGGGAACTGCTGGGGAAGTATGTGAATAGTCAGTTGTGTAGTATAATGCCATCTTTTCCCCAAATTATACTCTCACTGGCAATGGACAAGACAGAAAATTGAAACACATCATCACCAAAACTCACTGCAGTTGAAAAAAAAATAAGACTGTTTTGTCTTCAATATTGAAAAATAACAATTAAATTACAATATAACAAGTATAATTTTAGTTATATAGGGAATAGGCTATGTGAAACTTAGAGAATGTGAATGTTAGTGTATATAATTGCTTGCTCAGCTATTATTCATTCACAAACATCTGTTAAGTACTTAACAGGACACTGTGTTAAGGGATAAAGAGACATATTTTTTTAAAAAGGAATGATCCTTGCCTTCAAGGATGTAATGATTAATTTTTTTTTTTTTTTTTTTTTTTGGCGGTACGCGGGCCTCTCACTGTTGTGGCATCTCCCGTTGCGGAGCACAGGCTCCGGACGCTCAGGCTCAGCAGCCATGGCTCACGGGCCCAGCCACTCCACGGCATGTGGGATATTCCCGGACCGGGGCACGAACCCATGTCCCCTGCATAATATTTAATGCAGGGGGCACGAACCCATGTCCCCTGCATAATATTTAATCTGGGTGCCATGGGGCACCCAGATTAAATATTATTTCTGGATGTGTTTTTGAGGGTGTTTCCAGATGAGATCAGCAACTGCGTCCATGATCTCAGTCAAGTAGGTTTCCCTCCCCAATGTGGGGTGGGCATCATCCAATCCATTGAGGGCCTGAATAGAACAAAAACCAGAAAAAGGAAGAATTCACCCTTTTTTTACTTCCTACCTGCCTAGTTGACTTGGAACATCTCATCTTAACATTTCCAGCCCTCAGAATGGGATTTTTTTAGACGCATTCTGACAACTATTTTATTCATGCTGTTTCCATGAGGGGAAATTACACCACCTTTCCTGGGTCTCCAGCTTGCAGACAACAGATAGTGGGACTTCTTAGCTTCCACAGTCACATGAGCCAAATCCTCATAATAAATCTCCTTACTACAAGTTCTGATTGGAGAAACCTGGCTAATGCAAAGGGCTTGTGGATAGAAGCATGTAGAAAAACTAAGCATTAACAGCAGTAGCTGACACTTACATAGAGCTTTCTATATACTAGATGTATATTATATATACATATACACAGAACTATATATACACACACAGACATCCCCATACTCAGCTATTGTACCTGAATATCAAAGATCTCATATATATAGTAAGGAGACTCATGAAAAGAGAAATTCTTATAAATTAATATTTAAGATTTGAATGATACATTTTTTAAAGCAACGTAAGTCTGATAAGAGATAAGGAAAAATATCCTTTCCTTAGAAGATAGAATTAGGATATAAATGGGGAAAAAAAAAAAGAACTGGAGAAATGATGGAGAATAATTACAAGGAAAGTTCAAAGAAAGACTGGTTTAAACATTCCTTGTAAATTATCTCTATTTTGATTAGCTGGTGATTCTTGCTCTGACACATGGATTACAGAGCTGGAAGAAAGGTGAGGGAAAAAAAGAAATACCAGACACTTAAATTATAACCCAGTAAAAAGGTCAAAGAAATGCTAGTTAACACTTTATTTCTTAGGGTAGATGAAATATGGAAAGAACTAAAAGCTCAAAAACAGAAAGAAGAGCCTTTGCCATGTAAGGGCCAAAGTCAAATGGGTGCCCAGAGGAATAATAAAAATGCCCTTCTTTTAGCAAGCAAAAAAAATTCAAAAATAAAGCTTAACAATACAAATAGCAAACTGCCATCAGTGTGACTAGGTGTTCATTTTGTGGTCCTGCTTTATCAGTTATTGTGTTTCCCAGTCAGTTATAGTGTTAAATATCACCCAACAGGTTAGATTTCAGTGGCACAATTCCAGCTAACTTGAAATTAGTCATGATAATGAGGAGAAAGAAGCTTCTGGACAGCTCCCATTCATTCATTTGTAAGTTCTGAATTTTTGAATCAAAACTTTGTAAGGACTAAAAGCGTTTTTAAAAAAGGATAAATATAGTTTTCACCATTTTTAAAATGACCTATTGCTTTTATAATATAGATACAGAGGAATAAAAAAAGCTAAATCACAGGAGTTTGGAAGAGAAAAGAAAAGGAAACATCTGAATATCTGTGCAATAGCCAAATATCTGACTTTTTCCATTTAATGCTCGTACCAGTCAATGTAAGCCAGCTTTATCAATATAACAAACTCTGCTACAGTCTCAGTGGCTTAAAACTATAAAAGTTTATCCTCATGTTACCTGTCTGCTAAGGGTTTGCTGAGGTTTCTGCTCTGTGTGATCCTCATGATGAAACACCTACTACAACATTGCCAGTAATCAAGGCAGAGAGAAATAGAAGGTCGAAAATCATGCAGGTAACATATAACAATTATGCCTATATTTTATTGGCCAAAGTAGACATATGGCACACCTAACTCCACAAGAACAGAGGCATGCAATCCAACCATGTACATAAGAAAAAATAGAAATATTTGCTGGATAGAAATAGCAAACACCACAAGGCTCATAAAAGTCCATTTTAGTAATGAAATTAAGCCCCAGGGAGGTCAAACAAACACTCAATGACACTTGTTAGTGGAATAGCCAGTTTTGAAATCCAGGCATTTCTGACTTCAGGATGTGAATTGGGAAGTGGGTAGGATGAATGCTTGATTAATTCATTGTTGCAAAGTCCTTGGTACTGGAAGTTGCCTTACCTGTGTAACAGCAGCATCACTTAAGAATTTAATAGAAATGTACAATCTCAGCCCCACCCAAGATACTGAACCAGAATTTGCCTTGTAATAAGGTCTCTTGGCAATTCATCTGTACTTAAAGTTTGAGAAGCCCTGTCTTAAACTTCTTTGTCTTTGAGCACACATGAAGTCTCATCGGAAGTAACCCATGGCTGTCCCCTGCTCCAAGCCTATACCTATCCATTTAGAAAGCTTTCCCCCCAAATTTCCCATCACCACCACTACCCAGTCATTTCTGGGACCCTATGTAGGAATGTGATAAGGATAACCGTCTTCCCTCAACTTTAATACACCTCTGTTTACTCTCCGCGCTGTCTTTCTCCAGGCACAGTGACCTCTCTTTCCTGTGTCTGCTAGCCCACAGAATAACAAATATGTCCTATTATCCATAACACAGCTGAGGAAATGGGTGAAGAATGGACCTCTCTGGAAATCGCATTACAACTGACTATCTGGGCCTCTAAGCAGCACTGCTTATGCCCAGAATCAAACACATTCATATACGTACACAGCTTCTACAGCTGTTCCTTTGAGCAACACTTTTTAAATGGCTCAAGTCAGTCTATTGACCAAATGTAGGCAATGATGAAGGGATGAGAGAGAACTTTTTCTCATCTCTGTTGTGCTCATAGTTACTCTCTTTTATCTTCCTAAGAATATCAACCCCCAAAGAACTGTTGTGCACCATACACCCAATTCAACAACAAAAAAGTGAAACTCTCTCATGCATACTAGTAATTCATGTAAATAACACTTGGTTAAGGGGTATTCAGATCAGCAGAAATTATCTCTTACAATTAACATATCATATCTAGGATACTAAATAGAAAATAATCATTTTGAATAAACCTAAAGGCCCTCTTATTTTGACAAGTGGTATTGCTTCATACTACTTCCATTCAAATAATTATAGAGAATATTATCCTCGAGTGTCTTGGAATCTTTCTGCTATTAAAAACAAGGCAACAGACCTGAAATGGAGTTGCTTATGCTAAACCTCACACCACCACCAAGACTTCACTTAATTACAGTTTCTGCTTTCCCAGAAATGGAATCTTAAACCAGTCAATCAGGAATTGTCTGATTAGCACTAGTTAAGTAATCTGCCTGTCAGACCCCTGTCATCTCCTAAAAGAAAGTAACTTGGTCATAATCAACCCACTTCTTTGCCTAGTATAACTTCCTTGTTCCTGCTCCCTTCTGTATATAAAAGTTTTTCATTTTATACAGGTCCTCAGGGCTCCTTTCTATCTGCTAGTTTCAATACTAACTGATTGGAATTCATTTTTGCCCAAATAAACCCTTAAAATTTTTAATATGACTCATAAAGTTTATCTCTTAATATTGTTATACATAATAATAAATTGAAACTTTAAAGAAAACCTATAACTAATAAAGAAATAATGAAACAGAATGAAAAAGGAAAGCCTAATAATAAGTATACATCAGGAGGACAGGGTGTGCTACATGAAATATAAGCAGACTTGGGTTTTCCTGCATAAGACTACCCTTATTCATTATAATTAGCAATAATTGTGCCTTGGATAAACCTCATTGGCTACAATACTGTCACTGTGCAAAGCTTCCCCTTATTCATTTTACAACCAAATCCCTCCTCCTCCAAATTGTCATTGGGATGCCCATCTAAATATAACATTTCCCAAACCATGTGAACAAGTGTTAGCCAATGGGATGTGAGCAGCTTTCAGGTCACATTCTTAAAAGGAAGCTACTTGCCTTTCACTGTTCTTTTCACCTAGGAAGTATCAACAACTGGAACAGTCACCTTGGATCCAGGGATGGAATCTATGCTGATGATGGAAAAGCAACTCTTCCAAATCCCACTATGTTGCAATCTTAGAATTTTATGCAGCAGAGACATAAATCTTCTGTCATGTTTAAGTCACTGCTAATTGGTCTTTGAATCAATATTTAACTAATATAGGACTTAATATAAACAATTGTGAGTTTTTTCCCCAACAAAATCTAACCTCTGATAGAATACCCATATAACTGAGGATCTTGCTTTGCCTGATGAGTGAGAACTAAAAACAACAGAATTATTACAAAAAAACAGAAGGAAAAGACAGCTGTATTTAACTTTAGAAAAGTAAATATTCTTTATTTTTTGAAAAATGAATTTGGAAGAGTTTAAAATTTTCATAGACATAATATCAGATTTATTTGCAAAATATTTTGGATGAAGTAAGCAAGGATCTTCTAAGTCTACACATTTTATTTATGTTTTTATTCAACTAAATGCACTATGTGAATTGTCCTGTTTCTGTGAATGAGCTCATCATTTTCTCTGGCTCCAAACCATCTTGCGAGCCTTCCTTCTTCCCTCTTCTGCCATCCTATTAGTCTCTTCTTCCTTTGTTGTAGAGCCTCCCATATGAATTCTTTCTCTTTTATGTCACTGCTGTATCCATATCATTACCCACTTCTTCCAGGGTTCTTATAAAACTCTCTAAGTGGCCATTACTCTAGCTGCCTTTAACACCTTGTCTTTTTATTCTACCAGTTCAAAACTTACGGAGAAAAACTTTTTTTTATATCTTCATTGTGCAAATCATTCCCTTCATCAAATACTTTAAAAAGTTAACATGTAGGGCTTCCCTGGTGGCGCAGTGGTTGAGAGTCCGCCTGCCGATGCAGGGGACACGGGTTCGTGCCCCGGTCCGGGAAGATCCCACATGCTGCGGAGCGGCTGGGCCCGTGAGCCATGGCTGCTGAGCCTGCGAGTCTGGAGCCTGTGCTCCGCAACAGGAGAGGCCACAACAGTGAGAGGCCCGTGTACCACACACACACACACAAAAAAGTTAACATATAAATTTCAGTCTTCTTAGACATTTTGTTATTTAATCTCCATCCATCGTTATTTCCTGAATACAAAACACGTAGTCACACCTCCATTTTGCTCAGTCCATACTCTGCCTGAAAAGTATTTTTGATTCAAAGCTTACATCATGGCCTGCCCTTTTCGTAAGATCTTCAACTGTCCTAGGGCCCCAGCCTCTCTTCTGAATTCATAGTGTTCTTATATGTTCCAAGCATCTAGACCCTCTACTATATCTCATCCTTCAAGAAACAGTAGAAGACACCAATCAGTTGAAATCTATATCTAACCTACTGTGCAGGTGGCACTATGTTTGGTGGTAGGAATTCAAAGAAAAGATATGATAGCTGCTGCCTTTGAGAGGCTTACAGACAATTTGGAAAGATATTTAAAAAGCAAATCACAATACAAGATTATACAGAGTTCTTAGAATTCAGAAGTTGGACACATTTAAGGTTGTGGCTCTTACTCCAGCCCCTGGGATTTTATCACCTTATTTGTCATTCTTCTCCCCCAAATTAAATTGTTTTAAAAACTACCCTAAGAACTTATATTTAAACCTCTTTGAATTAATAAACCTTAAAAGACTAATAACATCTATAACCTTTATGTTGAATAAACATATCTCTCCCACTTTTCATTCAAATGGTACTTGTTTGGGAAAAGAAGATTTTTTTCATGTGTCTGAATGAAAAGTGTGATGACTCCATGCTTTCCTTTTTATCCTTAGGTAGTAAAAAAAAAATCCCACAATCACTTTAAATAACTAAATGCCTTTTGTATTAATAAAAATATCCAATTCCAAATAGGAATCAACATTCTAAACCTGAATCAAATTGAGTCTTCTCCCTCACATACCACCTCGGGAATCACTGAAAGCAGAATGTAGGCAGAAGGAGTGGGGTATAATTTTTCTTTTCTCCTTCTACACTTCGTTCTCCAATTCCCCCTCTTTGATTTTGGCAACCACAGTTTCTGAACCTGCCCATGTCAAAATAGAGCATAGATGAGAGGGACAGGAAATATCTAACTCACTCTTGTGAGGAGGTCTCCCACTCTTTCAGTCAGGTGGATTTAATGCTAACTTTCTCACTCCTTGCTACTTTTGCAGATTCTTTGGAAATCTTGTTCATTATCCTCTTACCTGAAGTTTTCTTGACCCACACACAAAGGCACTATATGTTGGTGTTAGCTCACTCCCTTTTCAGTTTTTATAAATTGGAGATCTACCTCTAGCTTCTCCTTTGCTGAGTCCAGTTCACCCATCTAGGAGCAAGCCTGCATAGGACACACACTAGTCTTCCTTGCCCATCTCCTACATCTGGGAAATGAGGGGGAAACATTCATTCTTTGATCAGACGAATGAAGAATGCAGGCTAATCCCAGCCTAAGCAGACCACTGGCACATCTCTCACCTGCTAGATTTCTCAGGCATGTGTGAGACATTGATCATTATGTTGCCTTAATTCAGGATATCAAGCTCTCCTAGTTTGGGATGTCAGATTTAACAAATTAAAGTACAGGCATCCAGTAAAATTTGAATTGAAGATAATCAACAGATATTTTTAGTAGAAGTATGTTCCCTACAATATTTTGGACATACATTTTACTAAAAGATCATTTGTTGTTTATCTGCAATAGCAATTGAACTTTAGCTTCCATGTTTAGTATTTTATCTAGAAATTCTACTCCCTAGTAGCTCTGTTAATGTCACTCTCCTGACCTGAAGTGAGGAGGGGACTCCCCCAACCATTGACTTTGGGGATGAATCTCTCAGTTCAACTTTATACAAAGAAATACTTTTCCCAAGTCCCCTATCAATCTTCATTCTTTGAAATATTTTGAATAGTCAACCTTAGGGATGATAACCTTTCTTAATATTTCCTTTGGAAATTTGCATCTTGATTTGGTGGGAATGCAAGGTTAAAAGGACTCTCATGTATTGCTGGTAAAAATGTTAATTGTTACAACCATGTTGGTTTGCAACCTGACAAAATCCATTAAAATAAAAATTACATACACACTTTGGAGACTCCTTTCCTGAGAATCATTATATACATATAAAATGACACTAGTATAAAATGTTTCATAACAAGGATATCCTAGCAGTATTGGTTCATAGAAGCAAAAAAGAAAACAAAAATCAGTAAAAATTTAAATCACCATCAATAGAGGAATAACTGAATAATTTATGGTACAAAGCTCACTCTGAAATATTGAAAAGAATAAATGAGAACTATTCCAATTGATTTGGAGAGATTTCCATAAGGTATAGTTGAGGAAAACTTTTAAATTCATCAAAAAGTACATGTTTCTAAAATAAATGAATTATCACGATAGAAATCTCTATTTATAATTTTTCCTATAGCTACAGAAAAAAGGAGAAAATATGGAAGACTACATGTAATTGTGTTTATGACAGATCATGGGGAGTACATATATTAGGTTTGCAGAGTCTGGTGGGAGGGAAGATTTTTTTTTTTTGCTAAAAATAAACTTCTCTTTTCCAGTGTAAAAATTCTACTTTCAAAAGCTCTTTTGCAAAGTATCGATCCTTTCCATTAAACCAGACCTAGATCTAGCCTTTATTATTGACTTTAGCATACAGCCTTTTACCCTAAGGCTTCAGGATAACTCTGCCTAAGTAAATTGTTCAATCATTAACATAGTTTAATTCCACAGACAAAGCTTTAGTCATTTATAGGCACATATGGTAACCAAAAATAATAATAATAACTTTATTGTAAATCTTAAAAGGCAGACAAGCTGACTTTTAGGGAAACAATAGTAAATAGATAAAATTCTCTAACAGGAACTCCCTCAGTTTGCTCCTACAAAACAGGAAATTTACAAGCCTACTCATGCAGGCATATGACGTTTTCTTCCCTCCTGTTACATTAGAAGCGAGGCCATCTCTCTTTAAGCACAGCTCTTTCATCTGTGCTTTGAGATCTACTTACTTTTGTATTCCGAGGATGCTTATATTATTCATGATTGTTTCTAATCCCTGTTTATGGAACCAGTCCCTCTCGACTAGATCCCTCTAACATACAATTACACAAAATCATCCTTCAACCACATATTTGCCTCCAGCTTATCACCATACTCTTCTTTACCTTTAATCTAACTTCTAGAAAGAACTGTTCATAGTTTTATCTCCTTTTCTTTGGTTCATCACTCCTCAGTCTATTCAAAACTGGCTTTCTTTGTCTTTTCTACAGTGAAAATTCACTGATCTCACCACTGACCTTCATGTTGTGGAATTCAATGGATATTTTTCTGTCCTCTTCTTATTTGCTGTTACCATAGCATTTGACAGTGTAGACAACTCCATTATTTCTATTGTCTCTGATATTTTCCTTCTCTTTTCTTGGTTTCTGTGACATCACCCTCTCTTGGTTTCCCAACTATATTTCTGTTCTCTTTTTAATCTCATTTATGTTCATTCTTCTAGTCCTGCCTATTTAATGTCGCAATTTCTCAAGACTCAGATATCTTTCCTTCTCTCTAACTCTCTCTCTAAAACTTCAGATCTATGGCTCTAATTACCATCCATGAGTTGATGACTCCAATCTTTTCATCTTTGTAGTTCCAGATAGACCTCTCCTGGGTCATATATCCAACTACCTTCTCAACATCTTTACTTGGATATCAAAAGCATTTCAAGCTCCTTCTATCTGTGATTGAGCACATTACCCTCCTTCAAAACCTTGGTTCTCTCCCACTGTTAGAGTACAGCACCGTC